AATAACACATTCAAAGTTTACAAATCAGTGTTTCTTAGGATAGTCACAGTTGAGTGTGACTATCAGGACATTTTTTATCATCCCAATAAGAAAATCTGTACCTATTAGCAGACTGAAGAGGGAACCACTAATTTACTTTTTATCTCTGTAGATTTACCTATTACCTACTATAGACATTTCATATAAATGGAATAATACAATATACAGTCTTCTGTAACTGGCTTCTTTCACGGAACATAATGTGGCATGTTTGAGGACTTTGTTACAGTTCTTTGCTAAATAATATTTCCTTATATAGATATTCTACATTTTATTTTCCCGTTATTTTATTCACCAATTGATTAATATTTGTGTTGTTTATACTTTTTGGCTATTATGACTAGCGCTGCTATGAACTTTCCAGTACAAGTTTTGAGTACACATGTGTTTTCAATTATGTCAATTATGTAGGGTATATACCTAGGAGTGGAATTGCTGGATCATATGGTAACTCTAACTTTTTGAGGAACTGCCAGACTGTTTTCCAAAAAAATGGCACCATTTTACATTCTAGCTAGCTGTGTTGGATGCTTCCAATTTCTCTGCATTTTTATCAACATTTACTATTCTCAGGCTCTCTGATTCTAGCCCAAGTGGAGGTAAACATTGGGTCAGGGAAGTTTTTATTTGCATTTCTTTGATGGTGAATAATAGAATTTTAGTCTGTTTTGTGTTGCAAATACCAGAGGGTGAGTAACTTAAAAGAGATTTACTTAGCTCATGATTCTGGTGGCTAAAGAATTCAAAGAGCATGGTGCTTGCATCTGGCTGTGTCACAACATAGCAGAGAAGTGGAAAGGGAATTCAGCTGCATGCAGAAGGAAGAAAGAGGTAATATGGCAAGACAGGAAGCCAGACTGGGAAGGGGCTAGTCTCACTCTTTTTATAATTCGCTCATATGGGAACTAATCCAGTCACAAGAGACTAGACCCACTCTAGGAGACTGCATTCATTCATTCATGAGGCTTGATCCACCAGGACCTTATTACCATCCACTAGGCTTAAAGATTCCACCAGTTCAATACCACCATATGGGGCAGGCAAGCTTTTATTATTTTTTTATTTTTTATTTTTCCTTTTTTTTCCAGCCTTTTTTATTTTTTATTTTATTTTATTCTATTTTTTAATTGGTTGTTCAAAACATTACAAAGCTCTTGACATATCATATTTCATACATTATATTCAAGTGGGTTATGAACTCCCATTTTTACCCCAAGCACATGAAGCCTTGGTGGACATACTCAAACTTACCAGATACTGCACATCCTTTCATGAACTTATTGGTCATTTGGATATCTTCTTTGAATAAATTATATTTAGATCTTTGCCTCCTTTTAATTGGATTACTTTTATTATAGAGCTATAAACGTTTTTAAATATATTTTAAAAACAAGTATTTTGTGTAGTATATAATTTCAAAATATCTTCTCCCATTCCATGGGCTGTCTCTTCCTTTTTTTTTTTTTTTTTTGTTGGGCTCTCTCTATGTTGTCCAGGGTGGCCCTGGCCTGGATTTCACATCTTCCCACCTCCATCTCCCTGGTGACTGGGCTTCATTGCCCCCAGCTTCTTCTCACTTCTTCATGTTATTCTATTTTTTTCCATATTTTTTTAATTGGTTGATGCTATTCTTTAAAGTCAATTCTATGTTGGTACTTATTCTCAATCTTATTTCTGTTACAAGGATATTGTTGTGAGTTGAGTAGTGTCCTCCTACAATTTGTAAATTAAATTCATAATTCTCAGTATCTCAGAATGTGACCTTATTTGGTAACAGGGTTGTTTCAGATTAATTATTTAAGGTAGTGTTGGATCCAAAGCATGGGCCTCTAATCTGACTTGTGTCCTTATGAGGAGAAATTTGTACATAGATATGAACACAGGTAGAATGCCAAGAAACTACCAGAACCTGGGGGAGAGAGAGCCTGGAACAGATCTTTCTTTAATGCCTGCAGAGGGAGCCTGGACCTGCTAACACCTTCGTCTTGGATTTCTATCCTCCAGAATTATGAGACCATAAATTTCCATTGTTACTCAAATTGCAGTAGTTTTTATGGTAGTCATAGCAAACTAACAGAGATGTCTAATGCAAAAGTTAGATTTATTTTTCAATTTTAGCAGCTATATCAGATCAAAATTCATGGTTTAATAATGTACCATTTCTTGGATTTTAATCTTAGTTATGTTGCCCAATTACATGAAATATACATTGGATTTAATGGGCTCTTTATTTTTTGCTATATAAGTATCATAGGATTTTTAAAAATTATCAAAATGGTATTAAAATATGTCAGTGTCCACAAACCCTAGTGAACATTTCTTTTCCCTTTTGAACTTCCCTTTTCCCTTTTGAGTAAGAAAAGCAATCTTATTCAAATTCTTCCTTCTTCTCCTATGAGACAAGGGAGATGACTAAAGTCAGCATTTCACAAGAACTTTGTCTAAGAAACTAGTCATGGTAACCTTTTCATTCCCAGTATTTGGTTTCGATATGTACAAAACACAGTTTTAGCATATGAGACCCAGGGAGAATTCTAATGGGTGATATTTGAGAAAAGTTTTCTTGTTCTTAAGAAAGAAACACAAAAGAGAAAATTTCCTTCCCCACTGCAGTCACCTTTTGAGCTATATGGTAGTTAGTCTTTTGGAAAATTACTTATACAAAGGATTGCTGGCTGGAGTGAGAAGTTGATTTCTTCATGAGGTTGGGAAATTACAACTGAAGTTTGTCTTGTATCTGGGCTTTTAAAATTTTAATTTAATTTTTTAGTAGTAGATGGACACAATAACTTTATTTTATTTATTTTTTATGTGGTGCTGAGGATTGAACCCAGTGCCTCACTCATGCTAGGCAAGTGCTCCACTACTGAGCCACAACCCCAGCCCCTCTGGACTTTTTATGTGAAATGATAAATATCCTTGTTGTTTAAACTAGTTTGGTTCAGAGCTTTGGTTTTTCTAGTACAAAGCATCTAAGCTAGTATATAACTATTCCTTTCTAACAATAACCTTTTCCTTTACTTAGCTGCATTGCTTTGCTGATGTTAGAACTCCACAAGAACATCGTTGGATAATTATTTTTTTTGTGTGCTCTCAACATTTCTTAGTTTGACATAACTTCAAATATCTCTAATTAATGCAGAGTGTGTGTGCTACAAATGGGTTACAGGAGTAATGAGATATTGAGTCCTTCATTTGTTAGAGTGACTGGAAACATTGTGGTGGTCATTCTTGTTTTGGCATCAGGTAGTGTCCTCCATTTACTGAAGAGTGCTGAATGAATAACATTTTCAAATGTGTGTACTGAATTAATGTATTGTTAATTGGCTTATTTCAAAACAATTAAACTACTCAATAGTACAAATCCAGATGAGATATGGACTATCAATATAATAATGGAATAGCCTTCTTGTAGTCTTAAGTTTGCTCCATTTTTAAAAATTCATATCTTTTTTACATTGCCATTGATCCCAAATTCCTTCTAGATATAAGGAAGCAACAGCAAACTTCATAGCAATATTTTTAGAGTGCATGTGGCCCGAGTTCCAGCTTATGTCTTCCCCTGGGCTGCGAGTAAGTCCTCTACTCTTTTTAGACTGTGGTTCCATCATTTGTAAAATATGAGGCTGATATAAGCCTCACGTTTTATGGATCTATGTAAACACATCTATACAGGTACAGATCTTAGAACTATGGCACACAAAATGCTTTTATTTTGATTTTAAAAATCCTATATTCATCCATTGTTAAGCTTAATTATTTTAAAATTAAGTTTTTATTAATTTAAATGGAATATAAATATTTTAATTTCAGCTGAAAAATTTAAATGTCAGGGTATTTAAAAATTATTATTTTAAATGTACATATTTATGGGGTACAGTGTGATGATTTGATACATGTATATAATATTCAATTATCAAATCAGGGTAGTTAGCATTTCTGTATCTGTAAATTTTTTTAAAAAAATTTTGATTACCACATAATAATTATGCATATTTATAAGGTACAGCTGGAGATTTCAGTATACATTTACAAGTGTTCTGATCAAGTCAGGGTAATTAATGTTTCCATCTTATTATTATTATTTTGTTTGAAGACTTTGACTCCTCTCTCCAAGTTATTCATAAAATATATGTTTTTGAACTACAGTAACCCCACTGTGCTGTAGAACACTAGAACTTACTTCTACCTAATATGTCTTGGTTTCCATTATTCCACTTCCCCCTCACCCTGTCCCTATCCAGCCTCTAGGAATCACTATTATATATTCAGATTGACTTTTTAAAGTACTGACATATGACAGAAAGAGTACAGTAATTGTCCTTCTATGTCTGACTTATTCCATTTAACATATTGTGCTCTATTTCTACCCGTTTTGCTGCAAATGATAGGAGAGTGTTCTTTTTAGTGGCTAAATAATTGTGTGTACATACCACATTTTCTTTATTTGTTCATCTATTAATGGACATCTAGGTTGATTTTATACCTTAGGTATTGCGAATAATGCAGCAATAAAAATGGTCATGGAAGTCTCTTTTTATATGCTGTTTCCTTTGTATATATAATCCAAAATGAGATAGCCGGATCATAAGGTAGATATATATTAATGTTTTGAGGAGGCTCTATATTGTTTTTCCATCTGGCTATATTAATTTATATTCTTTTTTTAAATAAACAAATGTTGTTTATTATTCAGGAGAACCGATGGTTTTTTTT